CGGGGGGGGGGGCACCCCTGTTGGAGCTATAAAACCAAAGGGCCATTTAATGCTGATCAAGGATTCTGGGGCTGGTTTGACTCATCCCCCCCCCACCCCCACCCACTACTCTATGCAGGTCATTTTTTTTTCAGATATTCTGTATATATCGTGCTTCATTATTTTTGACTTGAATAAGAATGAATTGGAAAGTGAGTCACATCTCCAAATGAGTAAAAGTCTTTCTGCACATCTCCTCTTGCCTAATGGGAAGACCGCTGAGATGAATGGAGCCGCGTCCGCAGATCAGGTGCTTTTATGGGGTGTCAGCTTACTACACAGCCCCATAATTGTTGGATCATGTCTTTTGATGACCCAGTCCAGCTCAACAGAGAATCATTATCCAGGCCGTGTGATGGAGATAGTGAATGTTGTGTGTGAAGGGGGCTCCTCTGAGCACGGGTTTGTTCTTAAAAGAGGAAGTGAGATGAGACTCAGACCGTAACCCTCTGGTGTTTCACGAAATGTGTTTGTGAGAGAGAGAGACGATGTGAGAAAAAACAAGAGAAATCTCACCACCAGAAAACCATGAGAAGAACAAAAACAAATGTAATACATCCTCACACAGAACGGCACACTGATGTTTATGTATGAATGCTTGGCTTTAAACTGTGTGTGTGTGTCTGTGTCTGGTGTGTGTGTCTGGTGTGTCTTGTGGTCTGTGGGGGGGGGGGGGGGGGTTAATTAGCAGAATATGTAATTCAAAGATAAACAAACACTTGTCTGGACCTGTGGCTTTTTCATAATGGCACTTTCAACCCTGCAAAATGTAACATACAACATTAGAGAGCAGGCAATTTACAGTGTTAGTTAGATACTACAGCAAGCCTGCGCTCTCTTCACAAGAACTGGGCAGGAGAGGGGAGGGGAGGGGAGGGGGAAGCAGGGGGGAAAGGGCCCGACTCTCTTTTCAATAGCTGAGTGACAGCTTGGCCAAGCTCTCTGTATACATTAATAAATTAGAATTTTAATTTTGTCTTTGTCTGCAGGAGATGGTCTAGTACTTCACTATGTACCAACAACTGGCTGTACGCTGGAATCTGCCGTTGTGGTCCCCTCTGTTGACCTCTGCAGCACAATTCCCTGCCAGGCTGGGGAAACTGTTTAGTTTGATCCTTTCAACTTATTTGAATCCTGACAAATATGCACACAACTGAAAGGTCATCACAGTCATATTTCATCCTCTGGAGCTATTCCGAAGACATCTGCACAACAAAGAGGCTTTTTCTCAACCTGACATTAGACCTAGCTGCTACAATAGCTCATTAAAAAGGGCCCCCAATGGGATAGTAAGGGTATTAAATATTATATATATACACACATAGAGAACAGGGCCTCCGTATTAATTACCAAATATGCCCTGAAGTCGTTTGCAATTTCACACTGACACAAACAACCGCTCCTTGTTCAAACAAAGATATACATCTCTGAGGCAGCTGATCTGAAATTAACGTAAATATTGCATCAGATATGCAGCGTTGTTCATATTAAAAGCAGAACAAGATGAAAAATAAAAAAGATGTTTTTTCATTTGCACCACAAAGGCTGTCCAAATAACTGTCCCACTGCCTCTTTACCTCTCCCCACCCTCACACTTTCCCACCCCTCGCTTTTCTCCCCCTCCTGCATCATCCACCCCTGCTTGTGGGCTGCTCTATAGCACCTCCTGCTGCTGGTGGTAGGGACCTGCCTCCTCTTTCATGTCTGGTGTGTGTGTGTGTGTGTGTGTGTGTGTGTGGAACAGTGATGAAACGTAAAGAGGGAAAGCATGGAGTTTCCTCTGCCTGACCCGACTCACTTCTCTGTGGGAGGAATGAAGCTCCTCTCACCTCCCCCTTTTCTTCTCCCTCATTTCCACACTTTCTCCAGCTTTTACCCAAGGCCACGCACCTCCTGAACTTAGTACAGTCGAAAGAAAAAGGCCTTTCTACTACAGAGGTCAGGATCAGCCACACATGCCGACGTGTGCTGCTGCCCTGGAATCATTCTGGCGCTACTGGGTGAGCTCATGTGATCTAAACTGGCCACACAGAGGCTTTTCTAACATTCTGGGTAATATATGTTCTCAACAGTGCCCAATTCTACACACTGCTGCTTCTTATGTTCTATGTCAAGACACATGGTTTATTTAGTGTGTGTGTGTGTGTGTGTGTGTGTGTGTGTGCTGCTAAATGACACATAATGCGTGAGCACACATAACTGCAAATGTTGCACTGCCAATATTAATTTCCTGTTTGTGAACTTAGTCTAGCTGTTTCTCGTACACTATGTTCTAGAGAGAGTTGCATAAGTTCACTTCTTTTTTTTTTATTGGAACAACCGCAAAGTCAAATAACTGAGCCATCAGATAATCATGAGTTAATAAATAAGAAAGAGTCTGAGAATGACAATACATTCAGGGTACCTGTAGGTTTTGCTGCTTGTCGTTGGCTTTGGGGGATTTGCGTCCGGTGTTTTGTTGAGACTGCAGTTGCTGCGACTGGGGCTGCTGTTGCTGTTGTTGATGCTGCTGCTGGAGGAGTATCTGCCGAGCCACTTGGAGAGCCTAATAGAGAGAAATATGTATACAGATTTAAAAAAAAAAATTGAAATGCTAGAAGTAGATATGTTAAAAGCCCCTTGAGAACCCTTTGATGCCTATTATCGGAGCAGATGTATCCCCTTACAATAATATTCCCTTGGCCTTCTGATAGATAACAAACAAACACTACAGACCATCTTTTCATACTCTCCAATTCAGTCATAAATCTAAGGCTGGCATAAACAAGCCTTCCACAAACACACAGGGAACAATGATCAGATGTCAAAACATATTCACAGACAGGGAGAAGAGCAAGAAAAAAAATATTAACTGTAGCCATCCAAAAGAAATATTTATCTGTTGATAAGTTTACAGCAAACACAAATTGTCACAAAGACACTAATCAGTGCTTTTGATCCTCCTTTAGTTCAGTCAAACTCCCCAAATAAAAGGCTTTATGGCTGCCTCAAATATCTGTTAAAGGACACGGCCTTCTCAGTGGAAAACAAAATACAGTGCAGTCACATGTTTATTGCTCCAGCTACTCCCTTTTCCCTTACGATAAATAATCAAACATGCCATCCAGAGCAAACAAAGCTGGAGAGAGCCGGGGGAAAAAAACACAGTGGTCTTGAAAACGGTCAGTGATACCAAGAAAAGCAAGCGTTGTGTTCCCACAGTGAGCTGGCCAGCCTCACACCTCCACCAGTAAACCATCTGGGTAAATAACTGGGCTCATTCTTTCCATGTTCCTCAGACGATTGCTCCCACAATTAAACAAACAGTCGGGGCCACATCCAAGCTCATCTCACAGATGGACAATCTATAAGTCCTCCAGTCGATTATTTGAGAAGTTCAGAAATTGTGTAAGTAAATGGTGGTATGTTTAACAAGAAGATAGTGAGAGAGAGCAAGAAAAAGGAAAAAAGTTAGAGCGACGTGTGAATGAAAGAGTGAAACCTGTGAAAAGACTGTGTGAAAGTAAGATATCTGCAGGGAAAGGGCAAATAGAAAGCTCTGTGGATGGATGAAAAGATAGAGAGAACTATAAGAACTGGTCTTAGTGCCAGTAAAGTCTGACAATACTTTAAGACAAAAAGGGTAGAGACAGTTAGGGGGTTGGAGCGAACAGCTGTGTGATGGTCTGCATGTGGGTGTATGTGTTGACCTTCCCAAACACACGGCTGTCGGATGACATCATGAGGCATAAATATGACCGCAGGCTACAAAGAGGCCACACTCCTGGCATCTCACCAAGCTTAACTTTAAAGTCCATAAATTCTCCTTCTCTCTCTCCGTCTCTGTCTTTCTCCGAGCTCTCGTGAAAAGATAAATGACAGTAGAGCAACATATCTTATTCTGCATGCCTAATTGTCCTCTGCTTTGAAATTTCTGGAGGGGGAACCCCCCGCAAGCAAGTGTACTCATAAAGAAAGTGTATAAATTGAAACTAAGAACTACGTGAGCAAGACTGACTCCCACACTCCGCATAGCAATATTTACATTTTAAGCTTTTAGCTTTTTCTCCAGAGAACTTATAATCTGAAAAATCGGAAACAAAAACACGATGTGAACTGAGGTGACAAAAGGGAGGGGATCGGAAAAATACTAACACGAGGAAATATTGTGAGATTGTCTCTCGCAATCGTACGGAGCGTGGTGATATTTTCTTTTATCACATTATAAAGCCTTTTAATTGTTAAAGACAGACCACAATTTTAAAATGGTAAAAAACTGTTAATAAAAGTCCTTGACATTTGAAAAGGCCTTTTGTTTCAATAAATTATTTAAAAGATTATGAGTTTTTGAAATTTTTAATATTGGAGAAAAAAAAATCACCTTGATTTCCACTCACAAAAAAATAATATATTTAAAAACAAGATATTTCAGTATGAAGCCTAAATATCAAACTTGGCAGTTATCAGCTTTTACAACAATATCATGTTGTATATAATCATTTATTGTATATAACAGTAATATAATCAGAGTGATGTTGAGTGATTATTTTGTATTAGAAGCTCTGGTCAAGTTGTTAGCTATCACACCATCATAAACTTTAAATGACTAAGACAGTGAAACACTGATAATTCATAAGGAGATTCAAAAGAAAAAAAAAAAAAAGCTGTAACGAAATCATTCACAACGCCCTGAGGCGTGGTATTACGGGCACATCGAAGAGTAAACAAAGTTTGCTGTTTTCTTTTCCGCTGTAACTGATGACACATGCAGTGAAATGTGTGTGTGTGTCTGGGTTTACAACCGAGGGTGTTGGAACAAAGAGAGTTGAGTCAACAGTAATGGATCAAGAGATACATTTCTGGGAAGTCTTCATTCACTGTCATGTTCATATAAAAAAAAGAAAAAGAAGCAGATTGCAAAACTGCTAAATGATCAGTTAACACGCATAGATAAAGAAATTGTGATCCCGTGATAATAATGTGTTAGGAGGGCTGTACATTAATACTCAAATATTGTTGCTATTATGACTGTGTTGGAATATTAACACACGTTAATCAATGTATGTATTAATCATGCAATTCAAACAGTTAAGTCTGACAGCTACAAATTCAAATAATTTTTTTTTTACTAGTATTTTCTTTGTATATATCTTTTGGACAGCTGCGTAGAATAGTTATGACTGAATTAAAGTAATGCCTGATGTGTTCAGCTTAAAGTGGAGGAGCCACGTGACAATTTAAACCATGATGGCATTTTGTTACATTGCATGGAAATGGAAAATGAGCCTCCTAATATTCAGCTTCAACAAATTATACTTCCAATTAAAGCAAGGGCAATAATTATGCAATCATGCACTTGGAAACATAGTCAGTGATCATCTTGACACAGGCAAATGAACTGTAATCACATTGCTGCCTGACAGCACATGGCTGGACTCTGTGACTTCTGAACGCAAACATACAAGACGAGTAAACGCTGTTGTTTGGTATAGAATATAATGAGAGAAAAAAGGCGAGCGGGCTGAGAACCTACAATGTGAGCTCCGCTCCATGTTTAGGAATGTTGCCGTCATGTTTGTATTTTAAAAAGGCCACTGGAGCTGGCACGCCTTTGAGAGGCCTAAAGCTGGGCTAAAATAACCTATTGTGAACTGTCACTGTGATGTTTACACAGCAGCCACTCTATTTCAGAGCTCACCCTCCTCCTCCTCTGGAATTTATCTTCTTTTGATCTTCCATTCAGAGGTACTGGACGCTTGATAGACATGCAAGCGTAAAAGCTGCTCTGGGCAAATGTGATAAACTGGAAACTGTTGACAGGCACAAGGCATCTGAAGCACAGAGAAATGAGAGAAACAACAGCTCTCTAGGTGCTCTAATAAAAATAAAAAGATAAAATCTGACACTGGACAGAATCATACTTTTATATTGTATATTTCTATATTGTATACTTTTGTGTCAAATTTAAAAATGACAAAAAAACAAGCAGGATCTGTGATATGCTGTGTGTTGATAGATTTGTGTAGTTACATCATCATCTTGTGTCTACAAGACTACAGTAGCCTTATTATAATCACAAACCGAGGTTGTTTGGGAGGCAAGCTTGTTACTGGAATAAAAACTCAACTGCAGAGATAGACGCCTACATCCACACACCAAACATGCAGTCACTGTTTGTGGGTCCACATGTGCGCAGATACACACACACACACCACAGAGGGAGTAAACCCTCCAGGTGCTTTTGATTAGAAAACACCCTCCAGCACATGACAACGTTTTTTATCAGCAACAAAGCCGGTGCAATTTGGTATCCTTGTCATTTGCAGTCCTCTTTTATATTCCCCATTTCAAATGTGTTCAAAGTTCACACCCTCTTCCCCGTGTTAACGCAACTTCCTCAATAAACAACAGGCGTTTTATCTGCATCTACTTTCACACCATATTAGTGAATAGAGGCAGGAGCGTCTCTTATGTCCCTGGGCTATCACGCTGTGATAAGGGAACTGCTAAGTACTGGATGTCTTTATGTGCAGTCTGCACATGTGGATTATTTACAGGCTTTGGGGTTTCCTGCTGCTAAAGCCAGCTCTGGGTGTCTTACAAATCCCAGCTCAGAGCATTGCCACACAGTCAAGTCGGCTCTCTGCTGAATCCCTCACTGCACCTCTTTGCCACTATGACAAAAAAACGACATATTTCAGATATGTCTCTTTTTCCCCTATCATTTTATGAAATTTTACTGACCCATGGTAACAATCAAAAACAGTGCCAACTATAAAGGAAAGGGATCCAGGAGGATTTGCCTCAAGTGTGATGGACACACACCACTCACATCACATTTTCTAAATGACAGACAAATAGAAAGGGAATGTGATAAAAGGTCCAGAGAAAATAGAGCTGATGTGTATAAATGTTCAGAAGGGAATCATTCAGGGTGTCTCCGTCGGGAGTCGGACAGTGAGAAACGGGCCAGCGTTGTTTGTTCAGGCCCATTGACAGAGAGACCTCTGTAGTTCTATAAACGTCCGGCTCCTCTTGCCACAGCTGGCGAGGACCTTGAACGTGAAATGGTTTCAAGCAGATTGCTCCTAATTGCTAGAAGATGTGCAAGCAGGTGTAACCGGATCCCTGCGGCCACTCAGAGAAAAGGAGAAGGAACGAGATGTGCATCTGTTTTCTGCACTTGTGTGAGTGTGCTTCAGTGTATTTACTCTAGCGGGCCACGTTTTCGCCAAGCTTTAATAGTCAGGTGAGTGTGGCTCAGAGACAGCCAGCAACAACACGACTAATAGGTTAGCTCTTAATGTAGTCCGGCTCAGAAGACACCGGGCCCTCTGGTCTCACTCTGCAGCCTCTGTGGGGCTTCGACACCAGCAGCCTAAATGTCAAGGTTATCTGCTCGACTTTCTGACTGATCGCACGTCTCGTCTCACCTGACATTTATCGCTTCTGCTGTTTCCTTTTCAAAGAAAAGACCCTCTGCTCCTCAGTGGTAGCCTAACCAAGCCAATCATTATCCAATCATTGCCTAAAATGTATGGGCTATAGTAGCCAGTGGTTCTATAT